TGTGCATGTCGGTGCCTGCCTTGCCCATCTTGGCCGTGCATGTGTGATGATGCTGCGTCGTGTTTGTCGTGTGACCTGTGTTGTCTGCACTTTGCTGATGCTGACGTGTGTTGATTGCGGTGCAGGATGTGTCGAGCTACGAGCGCAGCATCGACAAGCAGATGACAACGCTGCAGCACCTCGGTGCCATCATCGGTGAGGGCACGGAGAACGAGGGCTTGTGACTGCCGTGTGTGTCATGGCGTCCATCCGGACACACGCACACACTCACACATGGACACCAAATGTACACACACACACACATATGTATCAATTGCAACGGGTGTTTTGTGCTTGATGCATGATTGTGGGTGCGTTTTGAACCTACCGCTCACACACACACACACAACCATACACGCACGCACATACACACACACACACACACAAACACAAACACAACCACACGCACGCACGCACACACACACACACAACCATACACGCACGCACACACACACACACACAACCACCTGCACCATCCACCATCATGCACGCCAGACTACTTGGTGCGGGAGTACCCTGATCTCGAAGAGTCGTTTGCATCTGTGCGGGACACGCTGGGGTTCAAGCTGAGCAAGTTCCGGCGGGCAACAGCGGATATGAGGGGCGCTGACGGTGGGGATGACGACATTGAGGAGGATGCCACTTCCATGGCCGACACGACCATCACCGCCACCAGCGCTGGCAGCAGGCGATTGCACCGTTGATGAACAGGCTGGACATGCGTGTGTCTGTGTGTCTGTGTGTCTGTGTGTCTGTGTGTCTGTGTGTGTGTGTGTCTATGTCTGTGTGTGTTGTACTGTGACAGAAATGGGGTGTGACCCATGCATGGGTTGCTGTTGTTGCTGTCGTTTGCTGCTTGTGCTGGTCTCTGTCTCTCGCTCTCGCTCGCTCTGTGGCAATATAGAAGACAATGGGGACACAGTACTCTTCCATGCATTATGCCAAAAAGCTCGTGGATGAAGATTTGAAGAGATGATTGTGACGTGAACAGCACACACGTCATCGATGATGGTTTGTGTAAGATATTCAACAATGCTCCAGGCAAGCGTTCCTGTTGTGTAACACGCCTGATCGTTCAACCCCCTCTCTGTTACGCACGCAGACGCACTCTCGTTCATGCCACAAGCTGCCTTCGCGCAAGTGTCACACCACACCAAACAAGCACCCGCTACCCAACACAAGAAGCGCTACCATCCCAGCCCACCATCAGCCAACCATCAGCCCACCATCAGCCAACCATCGTCACTGCCTCACTGCATGATGCACGAGGAACACCCAACAGAAGACGCTGTCACGGAGCACGTCGAGCGCACCCAGGCTCAACAACCACAAGCAGATGGGTGTGGTGCTCCTGCTCAGAGCGAAGACGCAGGCTCCACAGCAAGCGCAAGCACAGCAAGCAACAGCCCAAAGCGCGGCACGTTTGTTGCCTATGGCGAGTGGGGGAAAACCAGATGCACGTACCACCGGGCCATTTCAAAAACACACACGCTCACCTTCGACAAGGCCAACGATGACGATGCTGCCTATGCTGCCTCCGACTACTGTGTGCGGCGGCCACCTGTCTTGGCACGCATTGTGCAGAGCGACCCCGGCAACGTCACCTGCACCCTGCAGACGTCCCCAGCCTTGCTGACGGTGACAGGTGTCACGCGCGAGCAGGCGGCTGCGTTGGCAGAAGAGTACACCAGCGAGCTCATGGAGGCGTACTGCGATAACGTGGCTTTAGGTCGAGGCTCCCTTGACTTCAACTTCTACATGCACCGCTTCTTTGATGACGAGGAGGAGCACGTTGGCGAGCTCGATGCACACGAACACTCGGCTTCTTCACGCACCAGCGACAAGGACATCAACTCCAGCACCTGCAGTGAGCACAGCACCGCAAGCGACAGCGACAATGGCAGCAGTGGCAGCGTGGTGAGCAGTGGCGACGAGGTGAGCGATGCAGACAGCGGTGTTCACGGCTCAGCCCACGCACCCAGCAAGAGCAGCGCCAAGCACGCTGAGCACGCCGAACACGTTGAGCACGCGACACAAGCAGCTGCTCGAGCAGTCGAGACGCAGGTCATCCCTGTCGACATTGCGGGGATGCAGGGTGAGCTGAAGCTGAAGGACGACGACGAGAACTTTGCACTCGTCGCTGCTGCCATCCACCGCGGCCTGGAACGACTGCAGTTCACGAAGGACACGGCGTTTGCGGCTGTGGGCCCGAAGATGCCGCTCAAGCCGTCCGCAGACGCCCCAGCTTTGCTTCAGCAGGCCATGTGCGCACAGCTGCTGCGCTTGAGACAAGAGGTGGGGGAAGGGAGTGAGGATGTCAGACACGAGGGCGGCAACGAAGAGCAGCAGCAACAGCACCACCACCAGCAGCAGCAACAGCAGCAGCAACAGCAACAGCAGCAGCAGCAGCAGCAGCAGTTTGGGCTGAAGAAGGAAGACGACAAGGAAGACGAGGAAGACGAGGCAGCGTGCTACAAGAGCGCAGCGCGTGTGTTCATCATTGCGTCCACCGACTCAGCTGCGCTAGAGGCTGCGCGTGAGGCTCTCGACCACGCCCTTGCAAACTTCCGCCTTGATGTGCCAGCGCATGCCGACCTTGCCGGTTCTTGGGACCAGATGCTACACAACTTCACGCATCACGCCGATACGCGGCAGAGTATTCTGGATACTCGGGGCATCAGATTTTACCGCACACGTGCTGTTCCACCCGAACTGCGGCCTGCACTTGATAACATTGAGATGGTGTGGCTGCAATCATATCAGCGCCCACCTTGGAGGAATGGAAGTCTGTGGCCAGCCTCCCAAACATCAAGATGCTCGAACTCAGACGCTCGCCGCGAAACACAGCAGAGCTGTTTGAGAAGGTGAAGGCGACGGGCGACGAGGAGCTGGTGCGCCGCTTCAAGGAGGTGACGGTCCTGTACGACCACACGGGCCTGAGCCCCGAGGAGGCAAAGCGGCACCGATACCGGCAGCGACTCGCGTCTGCATTTCTTTATGCAGCCACGGTTCGATCTCGCTACGTGTATGAAATTTGTGCTTTGCTCTGGCATGGAATGATGCGGCGTCAGTGTTTGCGCGTGCGTGCTTGCGTGTGTTGAGGTGTCGCTGCTTAACACTGCTCACACCGCTTGTGTAGCCATTGCGATCTAGCTTTGCACAAGACGCGTACTTCATCCTCACGCACGTGTTCTCTGTTGGTGTTTGTTGCTGTTCCTGGTGTTGCCGTGCAGTTCGGGCATGGCTGGGACTGCGAAGCGTGCAAGCAGTGCGAGATGAGCTGGTGGTGCCTGTATGACAATCCCGGCAGCTGCGAAGGCGTCGACATCTATGACCCCGACTACTCGGACGGGCTTGACTGAGATCATAAGATGGTCTGATGGTGGTGTCATAGTTGAGTACTTGTTTGGCAACGGTCATTTCTACTGACATTTGTCTGCATACATGCACGCTCGCATCGACACCTCTGTGCGCGCGCAAGTGTGTCTGTATGTGTATGTGTGTCTGTGTCTGTGTGTGTGCGCGCTGTCTCTGTGTCTCCCAGTTTGTTTGTGGGGGATGACATTGAGGAGGATGCCACTTCCATGGCCGACACGACCATCACCACCGCCAGTGCTGGCAGCAGACGAACGAACCGTTGATGAATGGGCTGGGCATGTGTGTTTGTATGTGTTTGTGTGTGTGTGTGTGTGTGTGTGTATGTGTGTGTTTGTATGTGTGTGTGTGTGTGTGTCGTGTGTGTGTGTGTGTGTCGGGTGTGTGTGTGTATGTACCTCATGAAAGACTAAACTTGCTGCCAAAAGCTCGTGGACGAAGATGACGTGACGATTGTGATGTGACAACATGACAACGTCATCGATGATGATTCATGGAAGATATCCAACAATGAAACAATGCACCCTCAGATTGCACCCTTCCCCTGTAACACGCCATAACCCGAATCAACTGCGTGCCTGTGGAGGTTGCGCGTGACTTTCCAACTCGCACTTTCCCACAAACACACACACACACACACACACACACACACACACACACACACACACACACACACACACACACACGTATACGCAGGCATACGCACGCAAGCACGCACACACACGTCAACACAGCAAACAACAGCAGCATGCACGAAAAACAACAGCACCAGACACAAGCAGGCGACGCCGTCCCGGCCCAGCGTAGCCCTCCCCAAACCCAGCACCACGACGACATGGGCAAAGATGCAGGCTACGCAGCAAGCACAAGCACAGCAAGCAGCACAAGCATGACAAGTAGCAGCCCAAAGCGCCTAAAGCGCGGCACGTTTGTTGCCTACGGAGAGTGTGCGCAAACCAGGTGCATGCATCACCAATCGAGTTCGGCAACCCACATTCTCTCCTTCGACAAAACCAGCGACGACAACACCGTTGAGCATGCTAGCGGACAGTATTGCGTGCGGCGCCCGCCTGTTTTGGCGCGCATTGCGCAGAGCGATCCCAGCAACGTCACCTGCACCCTGCAGACATCACCCGCCGTGCTGACCGTCACGGGTGTCACACGCGAGCAGGCGGCTGCGCTGGCAGAAGAGTGCACCAGCGAGCTCATGGAGGCGTACTGCGACGCCGTCATATTGGATTGGGGCTCATTCGACTTCAACTTCTACATGCACCGCTTCTTCGATGAGGGCGAAGACGGTGGTGAACGTGTGCATGACGCCCACGAACGCGCAACCTCTGCACACGCCAGTGACACCAACACCAGTACTTGCAGTGAGCACAGCACCGCCAACAGCAACGATGTCAACTCAAGCACTTGCAGTGAGCGCAGCACCACAAGCAGCAACGACAGTGGTAGTGATTATGTTCGGTCTGGGGAGAAGGCGAGCGATGTTGGTGGTGGTGGTGATGGTGGTGTTCACAGCACGAGCCACAGCAGCGGCAGCGACAGCGACAGCATCACTGCCAAGCAAGATTCTGCAGAGCCACCAGCAGCTGCGCGCATGTGCATGCAGGCCATCCCCGTCAACATTGCGGGGATGCACGGCGACTTCAAGCTGGAGGACGATGACGAGAATTTCGCGCTCGTCGCTGCTGCCATCCGCCGCGCCCTGGACTGGCTGCAGTACACGAAGGACACGGAGTTTGCTGCAGTGGGTCCGAAGTTGCTGTTGGACTTGACCACGGTCTCCGCTGGCCTTCGACAAGCCATCCTCGCCGACGTGGCTCGCTACGCTGAAGAAGCCAACGACGGCAAGCTGCAGCAGGAAGGGGATGAGGTCCAGAAACAAGAGCATCAACAGCATCAACAGCATCAACAGCAGGAAGAGCAGGAAGAGGAAGGGATACAACAACAGCAGCACCAGCAGCACCAGCAACAACAGCCGCACCAGCATCAGCACCAGCAGCACCAGGGAGAGAACGAGGTTGACGACTTGGAAGAGCATGAGGAATTCTGCAGCACTGAGCACATATTCATCATTGCATCGACTCCCTGATTGCTGCGCGCGAGGCCGTCGATTATGCGCTGGCCACCTTTCGCCTCGATGTGCCTCCAGACCATTCGGATGTTGTATTCGCTTGGTCGTGGGAAGAACTGCTGCACAACGTCACGCAGCATGACGATCCACAGTCCATTGCCACAGCCAGAGGGATATGGGGGTTTCCCAAAGGGCATGTTCCCGCTGACCTGCGCCCCGCTCTCGCCAACGTGGAGATGATGTGGCTGCGAATCCACAAGCCTGAAGTGGAGGCCTACAAATCGCTCCTGAGCCTCCCGGGCATCAAGCTGATCGACCTCAAAGGAGGGCTGCGCACTGCAAGGCTGCTTGAGCAGGTCAAGGCGACAGGCGACGAGGAGCTGCTGCGTCGCTTCAAGGAGGTGACGGTCTTGTACGACCGCAGAGGGTTGAGCCCAGAAGAGGCAGAGCACCAGCGACGCCGATGCCGACTCTCGTATGCGCTCGAGTATGCAAGAAATGTGAGTTTGCACTGAGTTTATCGTGCTCTGGGGTCTTGTACGTATTCCTTGAGTTGTGGGAGCACCCGTGGAGTGGATTGTGGCGTGCTGGCTTGTGATGGCTTGGTCGATGGCATTGAACCTGCTGTGACGTGTGTCATCGTGTGCTGTAAAGTGTCAGACAACACGCTGCTCACCCTGTGTTTGCGACTCCTTAAGAGAGGCTCGCACTTGTTCTCTTTCTCCTGCACTGTCTTACTTACCTCCGCACACAACACAACACAACGCAACACAACTCAACACAACACAACACAACACAACACACGTGATGCAGCAAGGGTACGACTCCGAAGGCCGCTGTCTGCGATGCCAGCGCTGCTGCTGGTATCATGACTATTACATAGGCTGCGAAGAGTGCTATCGCTTGAGGCCCGACCGCGACTAACTGTGCTTTTGCATGCGTGTGCAGGCGTGTGTGGATCTGTGCGCTGTTTGTTCGTGCCTCGGCATTGTTTGTTTGCCTTCCGCTTTCGTTGATGTGGTCTGGTCAGATATCTCCTTTTGTTGACATGATTATGGTGTGACATGAGTCAGACGTTGTTCACAAATACAACGCCAGCACTCAAGCGCTTGTGCGGTCATGCTCATGCCTCGCGTCCTTCAATTGCTCCCACACGGGTCATGTTCGTGGTGACTGTGAGAGCTGTTCACATCGCATCACAACAACCAGCGTTTATTGTTCACACACGCACGACGTGGCACAGGCGCACACAGATCAAACAAACAACTGTCAAGCAAGTCAACACCACACATGCTGAAAGGCAGGGTCATGTGCAAGTCCAACACTGGAAGGCGAGATGGCAAAGAAGGAAGGGGGCACGGTGGAACACAACGAAGCACAACACAGCAGGAAGCAGGAGAACCACAACAAGTTTCAGGCAGGCTAAAGAGCGAAGCTGCGGTGTCGGACGAATGCTTGGCGACGGCGATGGAGACTTGGCGTTCCAGGAAAACGGCAACAAACACAGAGCGAGTAGTCCTGTGCTGCTCACCGCAGTGCACCCGCAACGATGTTCACTCAAGGCCGAGCGCAGTGACCCCCAGTGCGCTGCACACGTGCGTGTAGCTTGGGCACACGGGCCAGTGGCTTACGACCAGGATGTCGTCGTCTCCCGCCTCCTTGTGCAGCGCGAGTTGCACTTCACAGTGGAACGCAGCTTTCGCGCACCGCTCAAGAATGCTAGAAGCGTTATCCTCCGTGCAGTTCAGTTCGGCCAACAGCTGATCGAACTGCTCACTGGTCGTGCCCTCGAGGACATGCTGGAGAACCAGATTGGTGTACTCTTTGGGCCGTGGCCCCCCAAGAAGGTCCCTCGTGTCGGCAACGTTGTACACTTTTAGGGCGGCATGGAGTGCAACGCCGAGTATGACGTCGCGGCATGGATGCGGCTGTTGTTGCTGTTGTTGTTGCAGGCGGCGGAACGTGTCTGCAGGATCTGCGTCGGCAGCCTCATCTTCCACCGTCAGCACGCGCGCCACGGCAAGTATGGCGTCGAAGATCCTTGAAGGGCGCGTGGGGAACACGTCAGAAAAGGCAATCTTGAGCTGGTGGTGCTGGTAGGTGAAGAGCGTGGAGGTGCTTCCAGCGGCATGACGACGCACGAAGAACTCGTGCGGGACGCGCACGGTGATGAAGCGGTTGCTGTCGAACAGGGCTCTGCTGCAGGCAGTGCCGACGTTGACGCCGCTCCTGTACTCAGGATTGGACTTGCGCATCAAGGTGACGCGGTGCCGTTGGGTGATCTTGACCATGCCTGGCAGCGAGCCACGCACCACATGAACCACGCCGTCCTCAGTGTCGACCGTGGCGAGGGGAACCAGGGATGCCGCAGAGCCCATCGTTGCTGTTGCGGCAGTGCTGGTGTGGAGGACGTTGGTGCTGTGTATGCATGTGGGCGACAGCGGAGCACCGCCAAGGCCGATGTTTGCGCAGACGAGACGGCCGGCATTGCTACTCAAACCATCGCTCCGATTCAAACTCAAAGTTTTCCCGCCAAAAACAACGCCTTGTGCTGTTCGAGTTGTTGCGCCTTTGATATACTGTCCTGTGTCTGTACTTCACTCAGACCCGCTGGGTTTATTGTTTGGTGTCGAAAGCTGCCTGGCCAGTTGAAGAATGACAGCATGGCGTGTGTGTGTGTGTGTGTGTGTGTGTGTGTGTGTGTGTGTGTGTGTGTGTGTGTGTGTGTGTGTGTGTGTGTGTGTGTGAGCACTTTGTGCGCTTGCGCGTGTGTGCGCGGGTGAGTGCAAGCACGGGTGGGTGTGGGGTCTGAGGCACACAGTACCACGGCAGGGGGGCTGAAAACCCATTCACGCTTATGCGATCGTGTGACTAGGTGTGTGTGTGTGTGTGAGTGTGTGAGTGTGTGAGTGTGTGAGTGTGTGTGCGACCATATTGATAATAGCCTTGGGTTCAAGCCTGTCTGCACACACGGTCACCATGCATGCTGCATGCACATGCGAGCAGCGAGTGGCATTCTCTTTCTTTTCAACTCACTGTGCTGTCTCTGCCTGTACTGTCTCTGCCTGTACTGTCTCTGTCTGTGCTGTCTGTTTTGCTGCTGTCGCGATTGCGCTGTGTGCAGGTGGCTGTCGAAGCAGAGCGACTTGCGTCGGTTGAGCAGCAGGTGGAAGGGCTACGGACTGCCATTCTCAGTTGCGCTTGCGTGTCGCTCTGTCCTCGTGAATGCCAAGTCCATTTGAACGGGCGCACGATTCGCGGTTGGTTGCGGCAGCAGTCCAACCTGGCGGTGGGCCGTAAGAGGTGGTGGTAACGACCGTGAGCTGAGTTGACGCTGAACCAAAACAAAAAAGATTTGGACATGGCAGACGCGATGGTGGTCGTTAGTGGTCGGGAAAGGCGAGGCAAGTGTGTGTGTGTGTGTGTGTGTGTGTGTGTGTGTGTGTGTGTGTGTGTGTGTGTGTGTGTGTGTGTGTGTGTGTGTGTCTGGACAAGCCCTTGTGCTCCAGCGCGTACAATGGAGGGCCAGTGAGAACTTACGGTTGCCATTTGCTGCTTTCATAGCCATTGACTGTGAACAAGTGTATGCTGTCCGTGCTCGTTACCACCGTTTGATTTCAGCACCTGCACCGCAGTTGAAGAGGGAACCATATGGCCAGAGCATGAAAGATGTGAGCGAAGCAGGTGGAGGGATGAGAAGGCATCTGGCAGCCGCAATCACATGCAAGAAGAACATGCACAGAGACGCGCACGTCCACAGCAGACTGTATACTCGTGCACACGCACATGCGCACATGCACAGATAGACAGACGCACACGCAGAGACACAGAGACACAGAGACGCAAGCAGACAGACAGACAGACAGACACACGCACGCACACACGCACACACAGACACACACAGACACACAGACACACAGACACACAGACACACACACACACACCCGACCTGCGTTGGATGGAGACGGAGCGACGGAGGCAGGCGTCACAGAAGATGTGCTGCGATGGACACATGGAGGCATCACGGATGCCCAGCAGGCATATGGGACAGCGAAGGAGATTGTCCAGCTTGTGCACAAACATGGCTTCATCCCAGCCTGCGACATCTTCCGCCACGTCCATGGTTCCTGTTGATGATGTTGCTGCTTTGTAATTGCTGTTGTCTTGCAAGTGAGCCACACCTGTGTCATGCACAACAGTCATGTCACATCATCACATCAGCTTGTATGAAGGGGTAAGAGCAAGACACACACGCACACGGTGGCAGCTTAACCACGGTTTGACACACACACACACACCCAGGCAGACACACACAGACACACAGACACACAGACACACACAGACACACAGACACACAGACACACACATACACACACAGACAGAGGCGACGACGACAGCAGCAGGAACTCGACGACACCATGCCAACTCGACGACGCGCGTCAGAATTGTCGACAAACTCACACACAGATCACAGGTTTCAATGAGCCACCCCCAGCAGTGATCCGTCCACCACATCCAACTGTAACTGTGACCGTGACACGCCAGCCACGCAACCACACAAACAAGCAAACGCAAGCAAACGCAAGCAAACACACCCCTCCAGTAGTCCAGTCCCTACCATCAACATGCTTGCTTGTCGGTCCTCATCGTGTGTGGAACTGACAGCAGCGGCCCTGGTGTACTGTCTCGGTTTTTTTGCCTCCTCCTGATTTTGCTTCATTCTTTTTTCGAACACACCTCGTGTTTGTGCCGCTTGCAGACCACACGCTTCTGTGGCTGCCTTACCGCAGCCTGGTTGCTTGTTGGTCTCTGCGAACTCGCACTCCACATCCGCTCCTGCCAAGCCCCAAACAGAGAGAGATTGAGATTTCAAGAGACTGAGAGACTTCCTCCCTTCCACCCCCTTCCGCCTTGTCAACAACACTTCATCGCCATGGCAAACGCTCGCGCCATCCTCAACGTCTTCTCCACCAAGACGCGTCACACCATTGACATCTCGTATGGTGACCCCGTCGGACCCCCACACATGCCCACTTTCGAGTGCACGGTACGCCACAATGAAGGATAGAGACGGGAGGGGACGGGGGGAAGAGAAGCGTTGTGAGGCGATGTGAAGCGAAGGAGCATGGTCACTCGAGAAAGGGACTGTGTGCGTGTGCGTGTGTGCGTGTGCGTGTGCGTGTGTAAATGTGTGTGTGTTGGTTTGGGATAAAGGGCGACGTGATGGTACGGAAGAGGACAGGAAGAGGACAGGTTCATAGAGTCGAAGAGTGCAGCAACAGTAGCAGCAACGTGTTCTGTATTGATGGTCATGTTGCGCTCATGCATGAACACACACGTGCGTACGTTCACACATTCACATGTATCCCATCAAACACCAACATGAACATGCACACACACACACACACTCGCACGCACACACTCGCACGCACACACTCGCACGCACACACACACATACACACACACACACACACACACACACACACACACACACACACACACACACACACACACACACACACACGCACACACGCACCCGCCCGCGCGCCACTAGGTGAGTGTTGGGTCCTTGGTCTCCTGTTCGGCGCGTGGCGGTGGCAAGAAGACAGCCATGCAGGATGCATGCAAGCAAGCCGTGGAAGCACTCAAAGCGCAAGGCTACATGCGTCCTGGTACGACATCCCCACTCCCCAAGCGCCCAAGCATCCATTCTGTGCTTGCCACGTGCAGTTGTCCGTGTCTTGTTGGTGTGAAACCTGCTGCTTACATGTTCAGTGGTCTTGCACACGGTTCACTACTTTCACACGTCAATCATTGCGCGCTTTGCTCATCGGCTACTCTGCTCACGATTGGATCACTTCCCCCACCCTTCTCCTTGCCCCTACCAACTTTGCAGATGGAGAGGTCGGGGATGTGCCACCCCCTGGTGCACCCGTAAGTTGAACACTTCCCGGAAGAACTGCCCACAAGCTGTGTCCGGTTTCTTGTTGTCAGTGCCACCTTTGATGCCTTGTCAGTTCCAAGCCATGATTAGGTAGCCGTGGATGCGTGGAACACAACTCGTTCATGGTATCATTCACTCACTCCCACCGTCATCTGCACGCTATTCAGGGCATGTCGAGGCCACCTGCTCAGCCGCCACCAGCATCACACCAACAGCCGCCGCCGCCGCATGGTCAGCCTCCATACCCGCACCACCAGCCACCGCATCAGCCCCCATACGACCCGCACTACCAAGCCTACCCCCAGTATCCGTCATCCTACCCGTACCCACCCCCGCACTATCCCGGGCAACCGCCACCACCACCGCCACCATCCTCTACGTACCCTGACTACTACTACCAACAGCAACACTATCACCATCCACCACCACCCCCGCCACCAACCTCGGAGCGGCCTGCGCGCGGGCCGGACGCCCACACACGTGAGCAGCACGACCCGCACAGGCGTGGCCGTGGCCGCAGCTCCCATGCTGATGTCCCATACCACCACCAGCAGCAGCAGCAGCAGCAGCAGCAGCACGAGTACCCGCAACGCGAGCACCCGCAGCAGGAGGAGCAGCACCACCCGCGCCATCAGGAACCACGGACACCAATGGCAGGTCCCGCCTCCACCCCATCTTCTCAACATGACCCATATTTCCATGAGCAGCAGCAGCAGCAACCACCAGCGCCCCGCGGGCGATTCGCACAGCAGCAACAACAGCAGATGCAGCCTGTCCGCGGCCGTGGCCCACGCATGCCGCCACCCCACGTCCAACAACCACCCCACCTCCAACAACCACCACACCTTCAACAACCACCACATCTCCGCCACCAGCAACAACACCAGCAGCAGCAGCAGCGCGTACCTCCACCAGCCTCTTCGTCTACTCCGCACCACGCCGAGTATGCAGCACACCGCCCGCCCTATGGTGCAGCGACACACGACCGCTCCCAGCGCGCGAAGGAAGAGCAAGAAGTGAGAGACGCTCACGCTCACGCTCACGCTCGTCCGCAGCCCACACGCGGCCGCGGGCCCCAGGGGCGCATGCACGACTACAGCCCAGCAGTGAAGCAGGAGCAGCAGTTGTCACCCATGCACAGAGACGCTGGTCGTGGTCGTGGTCGTGGTCGCGCCATGCAACTTGGCCGGGACGACTACGGCGACGACGACGACGACGATGGTGATGGCGGCGCTGGTGACAATGATGGAGACGGACGTGGTGCTATACGTGGCGATGTTGACGACCGCCCGCCGGCCAGCAAGGAGCCGCGCGGCGCTGCCAGCACACGTAGCGGATACAGCCCTTACGGCTACGCACGTGGCCAGGCAGAGCCGGCAACAGCAGCAACAACGTCGTCGTCGTCGCCACCAACAGCATCTTGGACCGGCGGAGCGACAACGCCGCGCGCGCCTTCCCGTCACTCGATGGATACGGGCGACTCAAACGCTGGCAGCATGCCCACCACCCCGCACACGGCGCCCCGTGCCAGGACAACATCGCCACCGCCGCTGCCACACGACGTTTACGACATTGCGCAGACGAAGCCGATGGAGCCGCTGTCCGCACGAACGACAGCAACGACAGCGACGACGCCTTCCACAATGACGGCGACGGGCGCGAGGGGCTCCCCCGCCTCCATTGCCAGCGGCCCACACCGCGGCCCGGCAACAGCTGCTCATCATGACGGGGATGGTGATGGTGATGGTGACGGTAACGGTGACGGTGGACGGGGACGTGGCAGGGATGCGTTCCAGCACGACCGCCACCGCGTCAAACACGAGCCGGGTGCCGAGAGCGAGCAGCCATACCAGCACGAGTACCAGCCATACTACCCCGGGTACAGCCACAATCCACACCAGCAACAGCAGCACCAACCTCCACCACCTCCGCCACATGCGCAGGAGCAGCAGCAGCAGCAGCCATATGACCCTTACTACGGGTACGCACAGCATCATGGAGACTATAGTGGCCCCGGTGGCCCACCGCCGCCGCCGCCACCACATGCGTCTGCTGCCTCTTCTTCGGCGTACCCCTACCCGCAACCTCCCCACTACGACCCCTACTACCCATACCCGCCTCAACACCAGCAGCAGCAGCAGCAGCAGCAGCAGCAGCAGCCATACCAACAGCCCTACACCGGGTACCCAGGTGGGCCAGGTTCCCACCAACATCCACAGCAGCACATGCAGCCCCCACCGCCGCCACCACCACAGCACTTCCACCCCCCGCCGCCGCCTGATGAGTTTGGGCCGGAGTGTCGGTTTGAGCTGTACCGGCCGCCGCGCATGCCGCGTGCTGAGGCCGGCAAGACAGCCAAGTCCGTGGTGATGGAGTACTGCCAGGCCCTGAAGCGCACCAAGCCCAAGGTGGTGGTGAAGCAGACGGGCCCACAGGAGGCGAGCACGTTCACGGCCTACTGCCGGGTGGACTGGTTTGACCAACCCATTGTCTTCCAGGGCACAGACAAGCGCAAGAAGGACGCGGAGCACCGGGCCATGGAGCAGATTGTCACGTACATGCTGGACACGGGCATCATCTCGGCAGAGACGGGCCGGGCGCCGCCGCGCAGACCAGTCGACGTGGCTCCGCACCTGCAGCTGGATGCAACAACACGCCACATGCTGCAGGGTGCCGTGGACAGGGTTGAGGCTGCCCTGCTTGCCGCCGCCCCACTGCCGCCACCCGCGATGCCCACAGAGCCGTCGACAACGACCGCCATGGAAGCAACAGGAGGCGCCGGCACAGCAGCTGCTGGCGACAGGGCCGCACTCGGAGGCCGTGGTCGTGGTGGCCGCCGCAGTGGTGGCAATGGTGGTAATGGTGATGATGATGATGAAGGGTTGCACTTGCTTGGACAGGAGCAGGTGGAGGCGCCGGCGTACCTCACGCGCGACCTGCCTGCGTACAACCACCGCCTGGAGATTCTTGGGGCCCTCGCACAGGCCAACGCCGTGGTGGTGGCCGGCAGCACGGGCACGGGCAAGACGACGCAGATCCCGCAGTACCTGCTGGAGGACTTCAAGCGCACGCACGGCGAGCACCGTTCGTGCCGCATTGTTGTGGCGCAGCCGCGCAAGATCAGCGCCATCTCCGTTGCGGAGCGCATTGCACAGGAGCGCGGGGAGCGGCTGGGCGAGAGCGTGGGCTTCCAAGTCCGCCTGCAGAAGATGATGCCGACTGCACCGCAGTGCATTGTGCTGTGCACGACGGCGATTGCGCTCAAGTACCTGGACAACCCGGACATGCTCGAGGACATGACGCACCTGGTGATTGACGAGGCGCACGAGCGGTCGATTGAGAGCGACCTGCTGCTGGCCCTGGCCCGCTCCAAGCTGGGCAGGCTGCCCCACTTCAAGGTGGTGGTGATGAGCGCAACCATCCAGGAGCACCTCTTCGCCGACTACTTTGACCGCTGCCGCATCGTTGAGATTGAGTCCCGCATGTACCCCGTACGCGAGGTGTTTCTGGAGGACCTGCGGCTGATACCACGGCCGGAGCGGCTGGAGATGAGCACGAGCAGGCCGCCCACCAACTTCCAGACGTACCCGACGACCGCGGGCGACGTTGATGCGATGGAGGGGCACCCGGACCTGTGGTGCGCCGCGCTCAGCATTGCCCTGCAGGACGTGCGCGAGGGCAGCGTGCTCATGTTCTTCTCCGGCTGGAAGGAGATGCAGCGGGTGCGCGATGAGATTATGAAGCGCCCGAACCTGCACCACTGCCGCGTGTGCTGTCTGCACTCGTCCATGACCAACCAGGAGCAGATGCTGGCCTTCCGGCCCGTCCCGCTGCCGGAGCGCAAGGTGGTGCTGGCGACGAACATTGCGGAGACGTCCATCACCATTGAGGACGTGACGGTGGTCATTGACAGCGGCAAGGAGAAGACGAAGCGCTTTGACGTCATGACCAAGTCCTTCTCGCTCACCCCGCACTGGATCTCCAAGACGAGCGCGGTGCAGCGCATTGGCCGCGCCGGACGTGTGCGCGAGGGCCTGTGTTACCGCATGTTCACGCGCACGCAGTTTGAGCAGATGGAGGACCACGCCAAGCCCGAGATTCGGCGCCTGCCGCTGGAGAACTTGGTGCTGCAGGTGAAGGTGCTGGTGCCGCACGAGCACGTGCAGGCGTTTATTGGCCGGCTGATTGAGCCGCCGCACCCGCGCAAGGCGCATGACGCAATCTCCAACCTGGTGCGCATGCGAGCGATGGAGGAGGACGGCGAGACGCTGACGCCGCTCGGGCAGTGTATGGCGCGCCTGCCGCTGGATGCGCAGTTTGGAAAGCTGCTGTGTCTGGCGCGTGTGTTTGGCTGCCAGGAACCTGTGCTGAGCATTGCCGCTGCCATGAGCGTCAAGGACCCCTTTCTCAAGACGGACCAGACCTCCGCCCACCACGGCCCGCCTCGGCACGGGGTTGGGCCTGGCGGTCCTGGCGGTCCTGGCGGTCCTGGCGGTCCTGGCGGTGCGATGCTTGACGAGCCACCGCGTCGTGCGTTTGGCCGGCGGTTCTGCAGCGACAGCGTTGCGCTGGCGGAGGCGTTTGACCAGTTTCTCTCTGCGCGCGTGCCGTATGAATTTTGCAGGGCGTTCAACATCTCGTACACGGGGATGCGCCAGATTGACAGCATCCGGGACCAGCTGCGTTCGTACATGGCCAGCACCACCATCGAGGCCCTGCTTCCGCCCCGTCCACTCAGCGCAGGCGACAACAACGGCAACAGCGGCGGCGGCAGTGATGGTGGTGGTGGTGGCGGTCAGCGAGCACAGCTGATGGCGATTGTCAAGGCGTGTCTCTGCGCAGCCCTCTACCCAAAGGTGGCCAGGGTAAGCATAAGTGGGTGGTCATTGGAGAAGGGGGGGGGGCGTGGTGGAGATTTTTTTTTTGGGAGGGGGGGGGTAGAGAAACTTGTGTGTGCGTGTGTGTGTGTGTGTGAGTGAGCGAGTGAGTGAGTGAGTGCGTACGTGTGTGTGTGTGCGTGCGTGCGAGTGTGGGCGTGCGAGTGTGTGTGGGTGTGTGTGTGCCTGAAGCGACAGTAACCGACTCTCAAACGTGGTGTGATGAATGGTGGTTTGGTGTGTTGGCGGTCAATATCATGCAGATTCCACGCGGCCCAAACGGCGAGCGCATCAAGACGCGCAAAGTGGTGAGATTTGCGTGTGTGTTTTTGTTTGCTTTTGTCGATGGCGTGTCTTACCTTCTTTCTGTGTGCGTTGAATGCAATGCACCCAGTCATTCAACCCGCTTCTCCCTCTCATTTTCTCACCGCCATTGGTGCCTGCTTCCGCCATCACCTGCAGCTTGAGTGCAGCACGGGCTACCCGAGCACGACGCTCATCCACCCGTCCTCCACCAACAACAAGATGGTCCTGCCAACAGACTTTCTCGTCTACCTCGAGCAGGTGCGTTGTTTGTTTGTGTGTGTGTGTGTGTGTGTGTGCGTGTGCGTGTGTGTGTGTGCGCGCGTGCGTTAAATGTATGTGCTTTCTTAGAGTTGGGTCTGTGTTCGCGGATGATGCACAGTGTATATGTGCGTGCATTGGGATGCTCACGCTGCTTTGTGTTGTGGACTCTTTTTCTTCTTGTCGCCACAGGTTGAGACGTCGGCCAAGTTTGTTCGCGACACAACATGCGTCTCGGTGAGTTGCGGTCTGGAGAGTTGGCTGGATTGTGTGGGCGCCATGTGAGGCACCGATTCGAAACGCGCGCGCGCGCACACACACACACACACACACACACACACACACACACACACACACACACACACACACACACACACACACACACACACACACACACACACACACACACA